AACATAATTTTTGTGGTCTACCGCTCCGGGCGGCAACTGTAGTTTGGCCAACCTCTTTGTATTTATTAATAATAGTATGAACAGTAGATTTGGGTCGTTCTAGAGTATCTCCAATCTTTTTTTCAGACAAATTACACTTCTAAGCACCGATGATCTCACCGCGCTCAAAATCTGTAAGTTCGTAATTTTGACGAGTATTGGTTGGATTTGACATCGGTTTTATTATTTTATTTGAAAACTTGAGATTTCAGCTTTCTAATGAAGTAATGTGCGTTGTAATTGAACCTTTCCTTGTCGCACAATAGACGTTTGAAATTATCCCTTAATTACGTCGATCATTGCCCGATTGCAGACTTTTGACCACCGAGTGTACATGTATATCAGTCAATAGGAGTTGGTGTAATAGTAGAATAAATATATTTATCAATAGAAGCAATAAAATGATGTCAAAACATAATGATACGTAGATCAGGAGATATTCGCATGTATTGATTACATAATTGAATAAGTTTTTGTTTTATTACTATAATATATACCGATATATTTAATTTTAATAGTAGAATATATATGGAAAATTTTCAGGTTTGTGTTATTTCATTGTCTTATAATCATAGAAAAACTGTGCATGTTAACTTTTGCTAAGGACAATTTGAATGACGAATTATTTTTCATTGCCAGGATTTGTGGTCGACGCGTATCTCTCTTCTCAGAAAGAGGAAAACTTTGTATTTAAACAATTGTACCAAAACGCTATATCTATTATTAATTCAGTGCTGGCAACGATATCAAAGTATCATATATTTTGGTTTTCATAAAGTTTATTAGAGAACAAATATAATTATAAATTGACTAAATTCTTGTCTAATTAACATTAAGTAATGGGATTATAATAATTACAGAAAGCTTGATTATTTTGATAACTTGATTTAAATATTCCCAATATTCATTTATCAAATTAAAACATATAAATTCACTGCATATAAAACATAATAAATCAATCTTTATGCATTAAAATAGTAGATTTAGTAAATTGATTTATATACATTAAATCCGCTTGTTCACAATATTAATTTACATTTAACATTTACTTCAAAATTTTTATTAAAATTTTTCAAATTTTATCAATAGAATTATTTTTAAACCTTGATATTTAGAAAAAACTAATATTTAAATTAATAAAAATTATATCAGAACTAACAAAAGTTTCACAGTATCTGTAAATTAATACTGTGAATGAGTTTACTTAATGATAGAAATTGATTTAATTAGTAAAAAAATTTGTTTACAGAGAGTAATTAAAATTTCTAGACATAAAATGTTATAAAATGTGATTTTTACTACCATAAACGTATTAAGTCCCGAAAATAAGCAACCCCCTCTTGAGGTCCAAAAGACTTGAAAAAGTTGAAGCAAATCCTTTTTTTAATAATCAATCTTTTACTATTTTAATAGAGATCTGAATTCGACCAACCTTGAAATTCCTTTTTAACTGCCTCGTCACGCTCGTAACAATGCCTTGTCGGATGCAATATGAGTGATCGATAAATTTGGAAGCATTTGAAGAAGGTCCAAATTGATGACGGAGGAGATTGCTTATTTTCGAGACTACGGTAAACTTCTTTGCATAATGATAATAAATTACAGATAACGTGAAATTTTTTACTAAAATTGCATTAATGTATGTTCAAAATTAGTATCTATAAATTTCTATCTTTGGTTAGTTCTTGTATGCCCATGAGACATTGGGGTGGGCGGTCAATTAAGTAAATCAAAACTATATGTAGTATCATATAAAAATTTATTATGGTGCAGGTCACTTATAGCCATCAAAATTTTAGTCAATTTTGAGGCCTTATAACTTTATATATAATGATAGAAT